TCATTGGGTCTTGTCCCGAGGCTTCTGCTTTTCGTAGAAGGTTCTTTACTGTCTGGACTGACCGCTCTACGAAGCCGTTGCTTTGTGGATATAGTGGTGAGCTTGTCACATGGTCAATGCCCCACTGCTTGCAGAAGGCTGCAAATTCTTGACTGTTGTACTGTGGGCCATTATCAGATATCAAGGTTTCTGGTACCCCATTTTCTGCAAATATTGACTTGAGGTGGTTAATGACAGCAGAAGATGTAGTGGAGCTCAGCTTTCTCACGATGGGGTACTTGCTGTAATAATCTGTTACCAACAGATATTGGGCGCCTTATTAGTCGAACAAATCAGTGCCAAGTTTTTGCCAAGGAAAACTGGGTACACAGTGAGGGTGTAAGGGTTCCTTTCGCTGGTGTTTAGAAAACTGTATGCAAGTGGCGCAGTTGGAAGCCATTTCATTAATATCCTTTGAGATACCTGGCCAAAAAACACAAGTTACACTTTTCTACCCCCAGATGGCCTTGGTGAATAATCTGAAGTATCTGAGGATGCATGTTGCTTGGAATCAGAAGACGATGCCCCAAGATGAGGCCATTTTCAACACTTAGATCTTCTCTGAAGTTCCAAAACTCTTTCAGGTTAGCAGGGCATTCGTTTGGATATTCAGGCCAGCCTTGATGAATGACATCCTTCAAATGGCTGAGCACAATATCTTGACTTGTGTGGTTTCGTATTTCATCCAGTTTAGCTGGGCTAGTGGACAAGGTGTGGCTAATGGCATCAACTTCAAGTAGTGGTGTTTCTGAGTCCTCGTCGGGGGATTCCATGCCGCAGACTCTGGATAGGGCATCTGCTACAACGTTAGTTTTGCCTTGAATGTATTTAATTTCCACGTTGTATTTGGACATCTTCAGGAGGAGCCTCTGGAGGCGTGGTGATGCACTGGGTATACTCTTCTTCCATATCCTTTCAAGCGGTTTGTGGTCTGTTTCGACAACCACTTTCTTACCAAAGACGTAGTGGCTGAGTCGCTCCAAGGACCAACAGGCAGCTAAAAGTTCTCTTTCAATGTTGCTGTATCAGGATTCTGTGTCGCTGAGTGATCAGCTTGCATAGCACACCGGTTTACCGTCTTGTATGAGTACACACCCAAGTCCTTTTAAGCTTGCATCTGACTGAATCACATTGTCTTTTTCTGGATCATAATAGGCCAGCAATGGTGCTTCGGTGATTATTTGTTTGAGGCTTTGAAATGCTTTGTGGTGCTCTGGTTGCCATACAAAGGGTGTGCCCTTCTTCATCAGTTGCCTCAGGGGCTCTGAGGTCTGGGCCATCATCGGGGAGAATCTGTTCAGGTAGTTGACCATCCCCATGAAGGTCTGCAATTCGGCTAGATTCTGTGGGGAAGGCATGTCTCTGATAGCCTTAATCTTGAGATCATCAGCTCTTAGACCATCTGGAGTCCACGTAAACCCAAAAAAGGATGTTTGGTCTACTTTAAACTGAAACTTATCTGGGTTGAATCGTATGTTGTTCTCCTGTGCTGTGTCAAAGACATTCAGTATGTGCTGATCGTGCTCTGCTTCGCTCTTGCCGTAAACAAAGGTATTGTCTGCTATACCACTCAGGCCATCGAGGTTTCCAAACACATTGTCCATTTTCTCTTGGAACACATCTCCACTGCAGGTAAGTCCGAAAGGCAGCCTCTTCCATCTGTATTTGCCCCATGGGGTACTGAAAGTGCAAAGTTTGCTGCTTTCATCGTCCAGTTCAACTTGCCAAAATCCGCTTCGGGCATCGAGGATAATAAAGTGGGAGGCCCCACTGACCTTGGGTATCACATCATCTATGGTTCTCACATAGTAAGGGGTGCGCTGAATGCCTTTATTGAGGTCACGGAGGTCTAGGCCTAAGCGGATTGTGCCATTGGGCTTTCTTATGACCATTGTTGAATTGACCCATGGTGTATACTCATCATGTACTTCTACTAAAATGCCTGCCTGTGTTAGCCATAGAAGTTCTTCTCAGTAGGGACTTTGCAGGTGGACTGGAGTCTGCCGTGAAGGGTGTTGTACTGGGGGAATATCCGACTTAGTCTCTATATGGTATAGGGGGCCAGGGAAACAGCCAAGTCCAGTAAAGACATCTTGATACTCTTTCAGAAGGTATTCTTTCGTCAGTGGGAAGGGATGTGGCTTACCATGTGCGTCTCATAGTTTAAAGGACTGACTGGTTGATTTGCTGTTACTTTCAGCAGCGATGGCCCAATTAAGTTTCAGCAGATTCAGACTTTGGGCTGATATGTTACCAATGATGGGAGGCCCATCGACATCTACAACTTCTGCCTGGATTACTTTGGGTTTTGGGTTGTTAGGGCCCTTTACGTAAACTTGGCAGGAGCCCAAGTTCGGGATTTCAGTTCCACCATATGCTGTTAGCTTGGCTGTAGGCTTCTGTAGATTCATAACCCTAGGGGCAAGTTGATTGTACAAGGATGTGGGTATGATGTTGGTTTCTGCACCAGAGTCTATCTTACATAGGGTGGGTGTGTGTTTTCCTGTTGGGCTCAGTGATAGGGAGACTTCCAAGAGGGCTTTCTCTTTAGAGGACATGGCATGGACACTACTGGTTAAGGGTGTTACACCAACTGGGCCCAGAAATATGTGATCATTAGGGTCTGCTACAGACTCGCTTGCACCATTACTTGTAGCTTCAATGTCATGCACATCTTTCTTTTTTAACTTTGACAGGCATACCTTAGCTAGGTGTCCTACTTTATGACCATAATGGCATGTTGCGTTTTTCGCTGGGCACTGATCTCTGGAATGAGGACCCCAACCGCAATTCCTGCAAGCCTGCGATTTGCCTGAACTAGTGTTTTGTCGCTGATTTTTGAGGCCTTCGTATCCTTTAGGTGCATTGATGGAGTGTACTTCAGTATTCATTAACTGAAGCTGTTTTTCTGCTGACTCTTCTGCCATCTCGCGAGCTGTGTTAAACGTGAAAGTATTTCCAACCTTGAAACAGTCCTTACGTAT